GAAGAGACCGGCAAACTACCCAGGAGCCAGAATGTACCTCGTGAGTTGCTTCTCGATGTCAAGGGACTGTTTACTTCTATCTGTCCTTGCCATTCTTTTGGGTTTTCAAGTAGCTGTGTACTCTGATTTTATTATTATTTTTGGTCTTTTAAGTAACTGTTTATGCTGATTTTTTTATCAGTTGTTTCGGGCTTTTAAGTAACTGTTTACTCTGAGTTTTGTCTGTACTTGTGGACCCTTGGTTAGGAGTTTATTCTGACTTTTTTTTTTTTTTTTTTTTTTTTGGTATTTAAATTACTTTTTTGTTTTTACTTTAGGCGTTTGCTTTGGCATTTCCTATTCTTGTTGGCTGTAAAGTGACTTCTCTGGGGATTTTTAAAAGCTCTTGTTTTGTGTGTTTCATGTATTTTTTCCAGCAATCAGTGATGATAGTGTATTTTTCTTCTCAATTATTATTGATATCAGTAACGTTATCATAATCTATTTTGTCTTGGCAAAGGATTTTTTTCACTTTGTTGATTCATTGCTGATTAGTATTTATTGATTTAAACATAGTGCAGCCACGGGGAGTAAGGCGTCATCCATAATTTTCATCATTATCACGAGCGTACAAACCGTACGCAGGGCGAGGCGGTTCAGACCAGGCGTACACTTTTTGAATGTGAAAAATGATCCGCGATGATGGGCGAATCGGCGGCGGCTGTTTCAAATTTCGCGCCACGTCGGTGTTGCTAGCAGGGCTGGCCGCTTTTCCGTAGAAGCATTTCTGCTGGTTCTTAAACATTAGATGAAAAAGAAAACGTATCGGATAGTAAGACTGAACATGAACTACCATAAACGAGTCAATATTAGATTTCAGCCACAATGCGTAGGGTCAGTCTCATGATTATAGGATTACCTGCAATAATTTCTTGATTATTGCACTGCAAAAAACAGTATACAATAAGTACATTATTAAGCCAATAATGTAACAACATTCAACGTTATAAAATCTGTATCTCTTTATAGAAAAGTGTACGATCATTCATAATGAGTGTGTTGCAGGGCTGAAGGTTTAAGTCACTATGGGACTGTGCGCTGCCTTTGGTGATGCCCAGTTGGAAGATCCAGCTGAAGTGACATAGAATGAAATTTCCGCCGCGATGACATTCGGTCTGCTTCATCATATTAGTTCATACCAGAATGGTTTCAGCAATTTTTATTTGATTTATTTGAATATGGGAAATATTTCAATATTGCTTTAAACCCTTTTCATTTGTATCAAACCATCTGTACTCATGAAAAAAGAACAAAAATACAGCTTACGTAAAATTAAATCTGTAGGTTCTATGTATTCTCCTGTCAACAGATTTGATGTTAATTCACTGAAAGAGCAATATAACAAGGTTTTATTTTGAATTCATTTATTTTTCTTAGAACCACAAAAGAAGAATGTACTTATAATTATGATATTGATCCATCATTTTTCGTCCGCTAACGTACTTTTAGGGGGGGGGGCTGCTCATAAGTCAACGTTTTGAAGACGTGATAATGATGAAAATTATGAAAGACTCCTAAGTAGTGTCGTGAATGAAGCTTCGTAACTCTCGTAACAAAAACAACAAATGTCCCATTATTTGGGTATTTGAAAATGATTTGGCAAGTGCTTTGATGGTGTCTATATGTCTCCCCATCTCCCAGTGCCCGAGTTCAAGACCGCCTTCAACCTGAGCCCCGAAGAATTCTTGAAGAAGTACGGTTTCGTCAAGCCAGAACCAGAGGACGATAACGTTGTACTCACCTGCAGATCAGGACGCAGGATTTTGCGGGCTTGGGATGCAATTGAACCTCTTGGATACTGCAAAGTGAGGTAAGAATTTTGCATGATCTGTTGGATAGTAAAATACAAGCATGTGTGTATTTGTCTGTTCCATTGCCCTATGTAATAGTACAATATCCAATGCTGGGGTACACTTTACAGTATATATCCCTGTTTTTGGACCTTAATTGACTTAAAATAAACTGCATTTGATTCAGTTTAATACACCTACAAACTGGCCAGATTTTACTACATCCACACCATTTAATTAGTACATATTTGATACAGATACCTATAGTTGTTTGGATTACGCTGAGTATTCTTTCCTGATGAAGGTTGCCTGCCATACCGAAACGTCATTGTTTTCGTTCGATCTTGTGTCAATTCATTCATATCCTGTTTGCCCTTACTGTACATCCATTTACAATTCATGAACATTATATTCTTTCATTTTCAGATTGTACTTCGGGTCTTACCTGGACTGGAAAGCCAGAAGTGCTCCATTGATACCTGTTCCCAAATCTCTGGAACCATAAGAACAGGCCGTATCCAAAACGGTCTATAATATTAAGCTTATTTCAGGGATATGAACACTACAATTAAAAATATTTCTTTGTCCCTTGTTCATTTTTAGGAATTTATGCTCCTGGATGATTTCCTTTCATACCAAATTTACAGGCAATGGAATAAAGATTAAATATA